ACAATCTGCCGATGCTTTCGTTCAATAAGGCCATTTTGCTAAGATGTATGTGGAAAAGAAAAGCCTATGTAGAATACCCTGACTATTAAGAAAAGGCAGCAAGGAAGAGAATTCACCCCCACCATCTGTCTGCAGAGTCAACAGCTTTTCACCAAGCCGCCTTTCAACCTGCTAGAGAAACTGAACAAAAACTTCTTTAACCTCAGACTTCTGTAAAAGGCATCTTTAACCTCAGACTTCTTTAACCTCAGACTTCTTTAACCTCGGACTTCTTTAACCTCAGACTTCTTTAACCTCAGACTTCTTTAACCTGCTAGAGAAACTGAACAAGAAAAAGGCATCTATAAAAGCCACATGGTCTTTGAAGCCATTAGAACACACTGGTGCAGGACCCCAGAGATCAACAGCAACAAGTTGCAAAGGCTTACAATAAACAGTTGTGGACCTTGTAAATGGTAACTTATGAGATTTAACTAATTTACATCCAGTGCAAACATGCTCTTCTTTATTATGAACTAAAGGAATATTACAATCTTTTACAACTTTAAGTAAAACACTTTTACTCGTATGACCCATTCTTTTATGCCACAAATCTAAAGAACTATGCTTAACATTAGAATATAAAAGAGCATTAGTAGCAGTGGAATGTTTAGCAGAAGCACAACAATTATTGAAAGAACTAAAGTCTTGAGTGAAACAGGTAGAAACACTTATTTTGTGGTAGCACAAACTTGTACAAACCTCCATCCTCATGGCCTTCAAGCAGAACTTCCCTCGACTCAAGATCCTTCACTTGACAGTAAGAAGTAAAAATTCTCAAGAGACTTTATTGTCTTGTGTGAATTTTGACACAAAAAGTAAATTCTTAGTATTTTAGGAACATAAAGTAAAATGTGAAGCCTGAACAAACTAGAAATAAAAAATAGACTTGACTGACCAGAGCAATTTATAGGAAACATATTACCATTCCCAACCTGGACATTTCCAAAAGCAGGAGCCACAGAGCCAGCTTGAAGATTGTTATAGTCATTCGTTAGGTGATGTGTAGCCCCTGAATCAGGATACCAAGTATTGTCCTCTAGAACTTCAGGAGTTGCTATAAGAGCTTGAGGAATGGTCTGGGAATGCTAGGATTAACAGTGATGAACTGTGCCTAAGAATTTACAGGTGATGCACCATGTTGAACAGTCCTATTGGTAATAGGCACAACAGGAAAAAAGGGAACAGGCACAGTAGATGTACTGGAAGTCAAAGAAAGAAAAAGATTATAAAGAGCAATCAGGTGAGAATTAAAAACCAAGGTGGAGGGCCATGAGGAGCTGTATTGACTGGAGGAGGAACATAATACTGTTCCAGGATGAGGCAAAGCAACCATAGCAGCAAAATCATAAGTACTCACATTAGCTTGCATGAAATCCTGATTTATGTTACTATTTCCTTGAATATTCCCAAAAGACTCATTTTTATACCCCTTATCAAACCTATAACACCTTTCAACAAGGTGTCTCATCATTCCACATAATTGGCATTGAGGCCTGGAGGAATTGAACCTACCTCTGCCTCTCCCCCTACTGTTATTATCACTATCTTTATTATTATAGTCATTGACATCAATATGAGAAGAAGAACTGGAATTTCCCACATTATTATTACTACCAGCAGACTGATTTACAGTAGAACAATGAACAGAGGTATTAATTCGATTATTAAACCCTGATTGCCTCATCGTCTAGAAGTATAGTTTTAATAGTCCTAAGATCAGTAGGAGAAGAGCCAACAATAATAGTAATCACAGCCTCATCTCAGGGGAAGGCCATTCAGAATAGCAGTAATATGTTCATGCTCGAGATAGATTCTCCACAACTTGCCAGATCATCACACACAGCTTTAATAGACATCAAATAATCTTTCATAGAGAGTTCACCTTTTACGTAAGACATAGTATTGCCACTATACAATCTAAAAAGTATGTCATATTTTAGATGAAGTATTAAGCCCTATTAGATGTGACAGAACAGATTCACTGACAGTTGATAATAACCAAGAGGCAAGAGCACCATCTTGCTCTTCAAAAGAATCAAACTCAGGATTTCTAACGACTGACCTTCATGAATTATGCTCAGGAGGAGAAACAACATAATATCGGCATATCTAGGCAGTGTATGGTTTAAATGTGAGATAAACTTGTTGATGCCACAAGAAGTAGTTTTGGTCATCTAAGATAGCATTGATCTTTTTGGTCGAAAATCGCCTATTAGACATATTAGCACTGCTAGTATCTGATTGACTTTGATATGAAGCAGTAATAGCCATTGGCAACAAAGAACCCCAACAAAAAAGATAAAGAACGAAACAGAGGACAAATAACAAAAAACACAGTGAAACGACTAGCAGCCAAGCATGAAAGAACAGCCTAATCAGCCGAATAGAATACAAGAGACAACAGAATAGATCACAAAACAACAGAAACATCGACAAAAACAATAGATTAGAAGAGGAGAAAGGTTAAAATATCACTAGAAGACTTGAATTCACCAAAACAAGGAGCTGAACGGGCACTGTGACTCGTACGGGGAGAACGCAATCTCGCGAGACAGGAGTCGAGTAGTGAGAGAAAAGATGGCCAAAACACCACTGAAGAAACTGATCGACCTTCATTGATCATCGGGGAAGACCGAAATGGAGCTCCGATACCATGTGGAGTTCCGGTGAATTCTGATAAAAGGATAAAGGGAAATAAACAAACGAGGAACTTCTATTTCATTTCTTGAAAGATGAAGTAAGGATTAACACCACCTTACAACAGAAATGTAACAACCCATACACTATTACTCAAAGTCCCTTACACCTTACAACATAGTTCCATTATGGATATTTAACCTATGTGAGGATTACTATTTTCATTGTTTTCCCACCCATAAACATCTCATAATTCTTAAGCTCAATCAGAGATATTTCATGAAGAGGCACTGCAATCGGACACTTGAAGCCCAGAAAACCCTTGAGACACTGATTTCATCGTCGGTCGGGCTTTAGGTTTTCTCCGTAAGCACGCGAAGGCAACAAGAGCAACGAAAACAATGTCTCTCGTCATTTTTTGACATCTTGGAGGTGGTAACGAGGGTCCAAAACTTCATTTAACGTGACATATCGAGCCGAAGACAGTGACGACGACGATAGCGTCGATAACAGTTCACCTGGATGTTTTCCCATCAATTTTCTAATGCCAACACCCCAAAGCTATAAAAGCGCATTTTTCGGTCACGACCATCGAATAAGCAAGTTCTGTAATGAAAATGAGAAAAGAAGAGTTAAAATGGATGAATATGATAAAAATAGTTAATTACATTGTATGTCCTGCATTATGATCCTCATTTAAATTGGTACCTAAAATATTTAATATTCTAATTCATCTTCATTTTAAAAATAAAGCACAGATTGGAGGGTAGAACTGGGGCAATGTATCCGTATGTTCCGACCATTATCGCCTATTCGATGAATCGGGATCGAGAAGTTTTGCAGTTCCGAAATCGGCGACAAAGGGTTCCCAACTCGAGTTCAACAGGATGTTGCTGCTCGATATGTCTCGGTGAACAATCGGAGGGCTGCAATCATGGTGATATAGGAATGGCATGTGCGATACCTTTGACAATGTTCACCCTCTTGCTCCAATCTAATTCCACAGCTTCTTCATCGATGCCCAATGCGTAGAACAAGCTTCCGTTCTCCAAGTATTGGTAAACCAAAAACATGCATCGGTTGTGGAGACAGAATCCATGGAGCTTGACGATGTTCCGGTGTCGTATTTCACTTAGAAACTTGATCTCGTTTTGGAAACTTTTATCGAAAGCTGGCTGCTCGGCTTCGAATCGATGGAGCTTTTCAATGCAACAATGTTGCCGCTAGGTAGCACTGCTTTGTAAACACTGCCGTAGCCACCTGTTCCGATGCAATGCTTGATGTCGAAATTGTCGGTTGCTCTGATGATGTCGTCGAATGCAATCTTCCGTCGTAGTCCCACACCGAGAATAGGTCTCCGGTTTTGGTCAGGGTATGATCAGGTCTCAAACTTTTCACTCGACTACGTCGGGATCGGATCATTATAAGCAACAGCGTGGCGGAGGTCAAGAAGAGAAATAACAAAGTTGGTACAAGAATTTTGACAGTCAAATTGTGCTTCCCTTTGCTCTTACTTTCCCGGTTGATGTTGTTGATGGAGAGCAACGAGGGAGGCCTGTAATGGAACCACATAAGCCCTTGTTCCAGTGAAGGACTGAGTTGGAATCTGCTGTAATTCATCTGGAATCGGACCACTCAGTGAGTTAAATGACAAGTTGAGGTGTTGAAGATGATATGACAATCTGGGAATCATGCCAGTGAGATTATTTTCACTAAGATCAAGAAAGGTTAACTGAGTTAAATTCCCCATTGATGAAGCTATAACTCCATTGATAAAGTTATGGCTCAGATCAAGGTAGGACAGAGTCGATAAGGCACCAATTTGCAGTGGAATCCTTCCACTGAGTTGATTGTACCCCAAACGTAAGGACCATAAACTCGGCAAGTTACCAATCTGAGTTGGAATAGGTCCATTCAGCTTGTTGTGGGAGAGATCCAAGTATTCAAGTGCCTTTAAACTCTCAATTTCGTAGGGTATGGTACCCTCCAACATGTTCATGCTCATTGATAGCCTGGATAAACTAGGTAAACCAAGTAGAGATGAAGGTATGGGACTGGAAATGTGGTTGGAATCAAGGTATAAATATTCAAGCTTCTTCATGTTTCCAATTTCATGAGGCATGGAACCATTTAAAAGATTTCTTTCAAGGTACAACCTTTGTAAATTGGGCAGGTAACACAGCGACGAAGGGATCGGACCGGTGAGCATGTTGTTAGTGAGCCACAACACGGTTAGACTCGTCAAGTTTCCGATATCCGATGGGATGAAACCTTCAAAGTGGTTTGAATCAAGGTACAACCTGTTCAAACTGGTTAAGAGGCCTAGAAATGAAGGGATCTGGCCACTCATGTTATTGACACAAGATCCAAGAAAGAGAGGTTCCTAAGGTTTGTTACTTCCAAAGGGATGGTTCCGCTAAGATGGTTGCTTTCGAGGACAAACGATGCGAGATTCGTTAAGTTGCCGATCGAAGGTGGGATCGGACCGACGAGCGTGTTGAATGAGAGATCGAGGTTAACCAAGCTCCTCGCGTTCCCTATATTTGGTGGAATGGAACCCCTGAGCATGCAATGACGAAGGGAGAGGGTCCTTAGCTTTCGTAGGCTCCATATTTGGGGAGGGATGCTGTGCAATGGATTGGAGTCCATAATCAACCTGGTGAGATTCCTCATGTTCTGAAATTCCATGGGAATAGACTCGATTCCGTTACGAGATACGTCGAGCACCGATAATCGAGTGAGGTTCCCGAGTGAAGGAGGTAACTCACCCGTTAGATTGTTCCGGGACAGGTTGAGGAACCTGAGTTTCGAGAGGGCACCTATGTGTGGTGTGATGCTCCCAACGAGACCATGACCGCCGAGATCGATCTCGACGACACTCCCGGCAGCGTCGCACCTAACACCTGGCCATCGACAATGGTCGACGGATTCCTCGATATAGTTACTCCACCACCCGATTCCCATCAATGCCTCCGCCTCTGCCGCCAGAGATTCTGAATCACCTTCAGTTGCCTTTGGAATCCCACTGGTACTCACAATTAGAGAGATCGAACAGAATGTTATAGCGATATAAGAGTACACATAAGATGCCATGGGATTGCTCTCAGTTATCTAAAAACACACACACACACATATATATATATATATATATATATATATATATATATATATAATATATATATATATAATATGAAAATTTACACGGTTCATCCTTCTGATTTTGACGGAAATCATTGTTAATAATGTAAATATAATAATGATAAAGGAATGAAAATTTCAAGATCATTTGATATATGAACACACAATAGTTAAGTGTACTTCGAAATTGTCAATAGACTGGTGACTCTAAACATCAGCCGCCTACTCTTCAACTACTTGAGAGACACGCTGATACATTTTCTCATATTACTATCGCACGACAATGTTGAAGGTTCAGATACAGATAGGGATCGGCGTGGGTCAAGTCGGATTTTCGATTAACTTGATCCGACTCGAAATAAAAATCATCCACTTAAAATTTGATTCGACCCAAGTTTAAGTGTGACTTTACTCGACTTGAATCCGACCTATTTTTTGAGATAAAACCATAATCCAACCCAACTTGACCCGAAATAAATATTTTTCTAAAAAATATTTTTTATTCAATAAAAATAGGAATCTATTGAAAAATATATATATAGAGGGTTATTATTGTAATAATCTCTAAATATAAGGTAAAATTTTTGAGTCTATTTTCCACCCTAAAACCGAAGCCGACCCAACCGAACATATTTTAAAAAAATCCAACTTGACCCGACCCAAACTCAATTAAAAAAACAGAATCGATCGGTTCGGATCTGGTCTAAACCCGTTGAGTTCGGATCCCGTGCCCATCCTTAAATATAGATAGCCAAAAAAGGATACATATTGTAAACATATAACATAGGATGCCATGTACATTTTGAATTAATCATTGTTATTTGATCTAATGATCGATTAATCCATATTAAATTTTATAGAGACCCTTCTAGGATGACGTTATCAACTCAATTTGTTTCATTCACAAATATTAAGATTTGAACCTTAACCTTACTTAAAAAATCGAATATCTTATCATACTAGACCAACCAATCGGTTTAAACACAAGCATCTAGATATATAATTTTCAAGTGATTTTATCTTTATTTTCCACTGAAATACAAAGTGATGTCAGAGTATTGACTAAAAACATATTATGTGGGGTTCAAGTATTGATTTATAGGTTCATCCTTCCACTGTTATACACAGTTCCTTTTTTTTTGGATATGAACTGAATAATTTAATATGACTAATAATAACTCATTTTTCAACACACAAAATGAAATATTTCATAAGATTCATAATCCACTTCTTGACTCCAAAATCTGTCCATTTTTCACCTGGAATTACATGTAAGGCTACGGGCTACCCTACCCCACCCACGCACACGCATACAAATATCATTGAAAGTTGAGATTAATTTACAAAATCCAAAGAAAATATCTTCTATCTTGTACGAGTGCATTCAATCATTTCAATTAAAATATTATTATAAATATATCACTTTGCAATTAAAATAGAAATAAATCTAATAGACGAATCAAACTACTTCAGTAGTTCGAGCATTAGAAATTTCAGGGTATTTGAGCATTCATTATCAAATGGTTAAGAGTCTTCATAACAGTATCGATACCATATGGTAGGGGTATCGATACCAATGTGGAAGGTATCAATACCCGGGGAATTTCGAAGCTAATTTTGGTATTGGTTCCTGGCTAGGGTATCGATACCCTAGCATAGAGGTATCGGTACCCTAAGGGCAGTACCGATACTATTTAAGTTTGGAAAGTTGGAATTGGAGTTTTATTTGGTTGGCATTAATATGAATCGTATCAAGTAATTCGAATCTCGACATTTATTTAATTTCGTATTCGTGTAGATATCGATTGGAATCAAAGCTCGGATAGGCTGTCAGAGTAAGATTCGAGAGAGAGAACAAGAGTTTGGTATTGACAAGTAACCAAGGTGAGTACATGATATTAAGTGTAGTTAGATTATGGAATTAAGACTTGCGAGGAGTCTAATTATGATACTAGATTATATAAGTACTCAAATATAAACATATAGTGATATGATGTTTAAAATATATGAGTACATGCATATGTCTAGATTTAAGTACTTATCTAAATAATATGGATTTATGTGACCATGTGAAATGATATAAGCTATGTAATTATTAAGTATGTGAAAGCATGTCTATAAGATAAGCTAAGTAACTTTCAACTATATGATAGGCTAGTATGTGATTAAGTGATTAAGAGATATAAGCCATGAGATATGTGACATGTGAATCATATGGAAGTGATCAATGTGAAAGTGAATTATATGAAAATAAGCTACGTGTAAGTTAACCACGTGATTATATGAATATGTGAAATGACATAATGAAAATGCCCATTTTATGTGTTATGAGAGCTAGGGGTATAGTTGGAATGCCAAGAGTCGAGGGTTCTACGTGGTCATTTGAGACATATATGTAATTATGTGGAACATATATGTGGTACTTCGGTACACTTATTTGGTCCATTGTATTATGTATATGGTTCTTAAGGAGTGGTCATTCGGGACATAGTGGTCATTCGGGACAAATTTTAAGTGCCCCTAGTGGGAATTATACGAGCTGTGGTGACAGCATATGTGCATAACCTCTATGTACTCACATACCTGAAGTTCTCAGAAGTATGCATAGGTTTAAAGTGAATAAAATAAATAAACTTGGCTTGATACTATGTGTGATTTATTGTGAACTGATCTATTTGTTTTATGACGTGTATAGAAATGATAAGTACATGTTTACATGATAAAAATGAATTAATGTTAATAATAATATAATTAATATTTAGCAGGTTAATGATGATCCATGTGTATATGTAAGCATTGTGTACTATGATATGTACATGCATTTGTAAGTAGTCATTATTTATTTACATGTCTCACTAAGTCTATGACTTAGCGTGTGAGTGTTTCACACGTAGGATCCAAGAAGCGCTAAGAGAAGATAGGTAGCGGAGACAACATAACTTTAACAAAGATCAGTTCAGAAAATGTACAGTAGGTTTCCCTTTTGTATTATATAGTGTTGGCATGTATTTCAAGGATTAAATTTGTATAAGCTACAAATAGTTTGTAAAAGTCTTAAATTGATATATGTAAATTTTTTAGTATGTTTGAAATTTCTTCATTTCTATCTATTTTATATAAGGAAATAATTTGAAAAATTGATATGACATCTCGGACTCGTATTCGGGTTTTCTCAGTGTCCATTTGGAATGATTTCTGGTTTCCTAGTCGAAGTCAGAAGAAAATAACTACGGAGCCGGTGGATGGTTTGTCAGTGGTGGTTGATTTGATAAATTCGGGTGACAAATCGTGGGAGATTGGACTGTTGGAATTTGTTTTTAACACTGAGGATATGATTAATGTCTTACGGACCCATCTTTTCTCTGTGGCTACTAGTGATGAACGTGTTTGGAGTGGCGAAAAGACATGCTTAAATACTGTGAGAAGTGGCTACAAAATGTTAAACAACACAACAATGGTTTTGGATCAAGATTCTAAATAGGAGTGTACACACCCATTTTTTTCCGGGTGTTTAATTGTATTATTATATCATCTATTATTATTATTATTATTTATTACTATTATATTACATTTTGTAGGCCCAAAATAGAACTGAGGCCCAATTACATTTACAAGTCAACAAACTTGAAGCCCAACCAAGTTGGCCCAATGTTAAAATAAAACCCGAACCCCAATTAGCAAACCCATATACGTTGGATCCGACCTAACCCGATTACGACCCGACCTGATCCAACTAGGGTTTTAAACCCTAACCCTAATATGACCCTAAGATTACCCTATTTTGTCGTCACCGTCGTCGAAGCCCTCAGTTGTCGTTATCATTCGTCATGTCGTCGACTGAGCCATGCTAGTCTTGTCCCCATCGTGTCGTCGATGTCACCGATCACCTCTAAGTCAAAAAGAAAGAACAATTAGTCAAAAAATGGTAAAAAATCACAAAAAGGACCAACTTGCACAGACAAAATCCAATGACAAATCAAGTCTCGAAATAGGGTAATCATACCCTATTTCATCACATCAATTAGCAAGCATAATAAAAAAAAAGAAGAGAAGTCATTTTTCAATGGGGAATCGAACAAAAAATCAGAGGATGAGTTGAAAGAAAAAATTAGAAGAAAAAATTAGATCGAAAAAGGGAGAAAAAATAAGGAAAAAGGGATTATCTTCAGTCGAAGTTTCTCGCCATCGTTATGAGGGTCCGATCGTGGATCGGGACGGTGAGGAGGAGTGCACGAGAGAGGGGAGTAACATACTCCGAAATCAAGGTGATTCGACGACCAGATAAGGAGATCAGAGAGATTGAAGGTTGAATGATTTTCAACATATATGTGAAGCTCGGGACATTTTCGGGAAAACCAAGCCCAAATCTATGCTCAAAGCCTCGAGACGAAGCCATCAGTGTAATAGGGGCTAAAAAAGATGCAGTGTATGACCATAGACAGTGGATGACGTGGCGATCGACGGCGGAACTACTCGTCGGAGGCTCACCGAGTCTGGGAGAGAAGAAAGAAGGCAGAGAATTTTAAAGGGAGAAAGGAAAAGAAAAAGAGAAATAAAAAAGAGGAATGAAAAGGGCCTTATATAGGCCGTATAAAATGGTCGTTTTAATCCTCGCAAGTTTTTTAAATTTTCATTTTAGCCATTAAATGAAATGGTTAATTCATGTGTGTGGTCCTTAAATTATGCTATATTTATATTTTAGTCCCTTGTTTCCAATATTGCTAAAAATCGATCTATTTATGTTTTCAGTCCCTCGAATTTTTGTTTTGTATGCAACTTGATCACTATTTTATGCTTGAAAATTTGAATTATTGTCTGATTAGCTCCTTGTATTTTTTATTCATGCATTTTGATCCATGTATTATTTTTTTATCGTATATTAGCCCTTAACTTAGCATGTGCATTTTTTTTGTAAATATTGCTATGCATGTGTTGCCATATTAAATATTTATATATGTATGTCTACGTGCATGTATATTTATATGTTTTACCTAATATATTTATGTATATATTTTTAAATTTTTGTTAAATGCTTTTTTATTTAATAATTTGTTAAATGTGACTCGCTCGAATATTTTCAAGAACGCTCGCCTAGAATGGGCATGAGAAGTACGTCTCTATAGGGGAAGTATGATTCAACTACATTCGAACGAAAAATGAACTTGAAATAAATCTGATCTATTTTCCGTGTAATTTTGTGATTCGAAATAATTAATCATTGTTCTATAAAAAGGATTATATTTTAATTTTGGACTCGAATTTGCAGATTCCACTGTTATGACAACGTATAAACGACTAGGTACCAATTTTGGGCGTTGTGGGGGATGCTCACCCTTCCCCACGCGTAATCGACTCTCGAACTCTTAAAAATGAATTTTTTGTAATGCAAACCAATTTTTGTCTTTAAAATAATTTTTCTTAAAATTGTTTTAAACGATATTTTTAGGTATTCAACCTACCTAACCTTTGAAAATTTATAATACAAACGAATCAAGTTCTCCATTTTGTCTTCCTTAAGACTGTTGTTCTAAAAATTTGTTAGAGTCATTCGCAAGATTATTTTCCTAGAAACATTCCTGACTTTCTCGTGAAGAAGAGTCAACCTTTAATGATGTCATTATTGGCTTTCTCGCGAAGAGGAGTCATCCTTTTAGTAATGTTATTCTTGACTTTCCATGAAGAGGAGTCAACCTTTTAGTAATGTTATTCTTGACTTTCTCGTGCAGAGGAGTCAATCTTTTAGTGAGGTCGATCATTTTCTAGAAATTCTTTTGAGTCCTTCGTAGGATCGATTATCTAGAAATTTGTTTGAGTCATTCTTAGGATCGTTTTTCTAGAATTTGTTAAATTCCTTCTTAGGATCATTTTCTAGAAATATATTAGAATCCTTCTTAGGATTGTTTCCCTAGAAACTTCAAACTGACTTTTTCGTGTAGAGAAGTCAAGTCTTTACCCGAATTACGATTTAGTATCCTTCAGGGAAAGAAGTAAGATTGTCCTACAACTCAACATCTTTTAGGGAAAAGAGTGATTTTGTCACCAGATTCAGCATCCTTCAGTGAAAGGAGCGAATCACCTGAATCACGATTCAACATCCCTTGGGGAAAGGAGTGGATCACTCGAAGTACGACTTAATGTCCTTCAGGGAAAGGACTAAGATCGTCATACGACTCAACATCTTTCAGGGAAAATAGTGAGATCGTCACCAGATTCAACATCCTTCAGAGAAATGAGTGGATTGCTTGAAATACGACTTAGCATCCTTCAGGGAAAGGCGTAAGATCGTCCCATGACTCAACATATTTCAGGGAAAAAAGTGAGAACGTCACCAAATTCAACATCTTTCAGGGAGAGGAGCGGATCACCTGAATCATGATTCAACATCCTTTAGGGAAATGAGTGGATCAGTCAAAATAAGATTAAGAGTCCTTTAGGGAAAGGAGTAAGATTGTCCTACTACTCAATATCTTTCAGGGAAAAGAGTGAGATCGTCACCAAGCAAAAATAGCCAGAGCTCTTCAAAGTGGATGAGCAGTGTCATTTTCAACATCAAATTTCAAAGGAAATGAGGGAACCAGACAAAAACTTGTTGTCTTGTCGTCTTTGTCTTATTCTTGTTAACACAAGAATGGACTAAGAGGTGTAACTATAGACACCCATTTTTGTCTGGGTGTTTTAATCGTATTATTATTATCATCTATTATTATTATTATTATTTATTAATATTATATAATATTTTGTAGGCCTAAAACAAAAATGAGGCCCAATTACATTTACAAGTCAACAAACTCGAAGCCTTACCAAGTTGGCCCAATGTTACAACAAAACCGAAGCCCAATTGGCCAACCCTGATCCGTTGGATCCGACCTGACCCGATTACGATCTGATCTGACCCAATTAGGGTTTTAAACCCTAACCATAATCTCACCATAGGGCTACCATATTCTTTCATCGTCGAAGCCCTCAGCTATCACCGTCGTCTATCACGTCGTCGACTGAGCCGTGTTAGTCCTATCCTCATCGTGCCGCCACTGTCACCGATCACCTCTTAACCAAAAAGGCAGAATATTCAGTCAAAAAAATGGCAAAAAATCACAAAAAAGGACCAACTTGCACAGACAAAATCCAAGAACAAATCAAGTCTCGAAATAGGGTAATCATACCTTATTTCATCACATCAACTAGCAAGCATAATAAAAAAGGAAGAGAAACCATTTTTCAAGGGGAAATCAAACAAAAAATCAAATGAGGATTCGAAAGAAAAAAATCAAAAGAAAAAAAGAGATCGAAAAGGAAAAAAGAAAAAGGGGTTACCTTCGATCGGAGTTCCTCACCAGCGTTCAGAGGTTCCAATCGTGGATTGAGACGGTTAGAAGGAGTGCATGATAGAGGGGAGTAACATAATCTGAAATCAAGGCAATCCGGCGGCCAAATAAAGAGATAGGAGAGATTGAAATTCAAATAATTTTCGACAAATTTGTGGAGCTCGGGACGTTTTCGAGAAAACCAAGCCCAGATCCGTGCTCAAGGCCTCGAGACGAAGCCACTGATGTAATCGTGGCTCGAAAGGCTACCATGGAACGATGACGGACGACGCCGACGTGGCGGCCGGAGGCGGAGCTGCTCTCTGTGTCTAGGAGAGAAGAGATAAGGCAAAGAATTTTAAAGGAAGACAGAGAGAGGAAAAGAAAAAGAGTGAAATAAAAAAGGGGAATGAAAATGGCCTTATATAGGCCGTTTAAAACGTTGTCGTTTTAAGGGGACTATTCCCGTATTTTTGCGCATGGGCAAATAGTCGTTTTGATCCTCGTAAGTTTTTTAAAATTTTTATTTTAGCCATTAAATAAAATTGTTAATTCATGTGTGTGGTCCTTATATTATGCTATGTTTATATTTTAGTCCTTTGTTTCCAATATTGTCGAAAATCATATTATTGTCTTATTAGCTCCCTGTATTTTTGTATTCATGCATTTTGATCCATGTATTGTTTGTTTATCGTATATTAGCCCTTAACTTAGCATGTGCATATTTTTGTTGTAAATATTGCTATGCATGTCTTGCCATATTAAATATTTATATGTGTATGTCTACGTGCATGTATATTTATATGTTTTACGTAGTATATTTATGTACACTTTTTAAAAATTTTGAAAACTGCTTATTTATTTAATAATTTGGTAAATATCACTTGCTCGAATATTTCCAAGAACGCTCGCTGTAGAATGGGCGTGAAAAGTATGTCCCTATAGGGGAAGTACGATTCAATGACATTCGAGCGAAAAGTGAACTTGAAACAAATATGATTTATTTTCCATGGAATTTTGTAATTCGAAATAATTAATCATTGTATGAGAAGAAGAATCGTATTTTAATCTTAGACTCGAATTTGCAGATTCCATTGTTATGACAACGTATAAGCGACTAAGTACTAATTTTAGGCGTTGTAGGGGTGCTCACCCTTCTCCACGCGTAATCAACTCTCGTACTATTAAAAATGAATCTTTGGTAACACAAACCAATTTTTGTCTTAAAAATAATTTTTCTTAAAATTGTTTTAAATGACATTTTTAGGTATTCGACCTACCTAACCCAAAGGTCGACGACGACTTCAAATTTGATCAAATATCAAATTCATCCAAAGCCCCGATTTTTCAAATTAAGTCATAATTATTTTTAATTCGAAATTTTCGTTTAAAAACGTTATGACAAGGTGTTTCATCAACTATGGGGTTTAGACTGCCCTAGCAAGGTATGCATATTATTATGGAAATGTTTTCATAATTATGTGTCTACGTTTAACAATCTTTATACCATACGAATTGCTTAGAATAAATTCTGCCCCAGATGCCCCCTAGTGATCGAAACTATACTTCACACATGCTGTGATTGTCCTTATGCTCGTCAAATTTGAAATAGCTTGGGTTTTACTTTGCAAAATGTTGTGAAACATGTAAGTATTGTAGACTGGTTTATGTGGGTCATGCAACATGTAAACAGTACCAAAAACGACAATTCACAATTAGCATTTGGGCGATATGTCATTCTAGGAATGATGTTGTTTGGACTCCCCCACCAGCAGAGCTTGTGAAGGTAAATGTTGATGCAAGTTTCCTGCACCAATTAGAAAAAGCTTGTACTAGTAGTGTGATTCGGGATGTGGAGGGTCAAATTATGGGAGCAAGCTGCAGAGTTTCTTACATGGTTAGCTCCGCTTTCGCTACAGAAGCTTTGGCATTCCTACATGGCATCAAGTTTGCCGTTGAAATGGGTTTTCACTGGGTCTTGGTTGAAGGAGATGTCTTAGCCATAGTCAAGAGAATCAATGCATCGGGTCCTAATCTCTTTGAGCTTCGACCTTTCATCTGTGACATAAAAGAAAAAATGAAGGCTTTTGAAACCTGCCACGTCCATTATGCCCCAAGGTAAGCAAATCAAGTTGCTCATGCACTGGCTAAGAAGGGGGTAAGTGAGACTACTGACCATTTTTGGAAAATCAAAAGTTACTTGTTATTTAATCCATCAAAAGGAAAATCAAATCACAGAATTAATTACATCAAAAAGAATGCATGCTAAAGTCCCTTGTCGGGACGGTCAAAATAAAAACAACTGTTCTAACTCATGACTTATCAGATTTCTTCGCATCGGATTTCTTGCCATCGGATTTATTGTCTTTGTCCGATGCAATCTTGAACTTGAACTGCATTTTATGCTTGTAAGGCTTTCCAGGTGAAACAATTATGGAAGGGAAATTGGGGTGATGCACTGCATCAGGGAAGCCTTGTGTCAGCAAACAGAGTCCCGCGTGAGCCTTATAAATCACTCCTCCTTTTCCCTTAACGTCTTTCAACAGGTTCCCGGTGTAGAATTGCATGCCCGGTTGGTTCGAGGTCAGTTTCATGACTCTCCCCGTCCTCGGATCCTTCACGATCGCTGTTTTCTTCATCCGGATGGGGTCGTCCGGGCCCTCGATGACGTAGTTTATGTCGTAGCCTCCCGGGAGTTGGTTGATTCGGCTCCCGATCACCCTCGATTCCAGGAAATCGTACGGAGTTCCCTTCACGGGTTCGAGTTTACCCGTGGGGATACGTTCGTTATCGATCGGCGTGATCTGGTTGGCGAAAAGCTGGAGTTCTTCAGACAGGATGTCACCGCTGTCATGGTTGCCAAGGTTCCAATATGTATGCTGCACTAGGTTCAAAGGGGTGGCTTGTTTTATGGCTTTGGCCTTCATTGTCACTCTCAATCGGTTATCTGGACGGAGGAGGTACCGGACGGTGATTTTAACCTCACCGGGGAACCCTGCATCAAAATGTACCGGAGATCAAGTGCTAGTTCTTTTTACAATGATCTGGATTATGCCTAGTCGTGTGTACTCTTTTTCTTCACATAAGATTAACGAGGTTTTTAACGAGACATACAAATACGCTTAGATATATAAATTAAAATTTTCTAATAAAATCATATTGGCGAGCAAAAGGAGAAATTTCAGCAACATCTTTCTTAACCTTCTTCACCGTCTGGACTATCATAAGAAAAGAGAACAGTGGGATCAGCAACATCTTTCTTAACCTTCTTCACTTCCCATATAGCATCAGCCAATGCTCCATGGCCACCTAATACATCACAAGATCAAGCAAAAAAATTTCAGAAATTTGTTCTTCAATGAATATCAAGATATTAACTTTACCATGAAGCAAATGTTTCCCATTTTCATGAGGTCTAAGTTGATATTCCTTCCCGTTCAAAGAAAATCTCCCGTCTCGAATCCGATTCGCGACCCGTCCGACGACGTTCCCGAAGTACGTCTCATCGTTCTACACGGAGTGTTCTATATCAATTAGTTTTCATGGCATCCTTCATTTCAACATTCAATGTGTATTCATGAAACTCACCTTGTATGCATCGGTGGAGTCGTATCCAAGAACAATGTCACCCGGCTTACCTGAAAATTTGCAGAGAACGAGAAAACGAAAGAAAATCTCAACCCGGACAAGAAAATCGTAATCCGAACAAGATAAAAAGGGACCAACCGTTTTTGTCCGGGACAATAATCGACATCACGCTTGCACCATAGTTGGTGAACTTGGCGGATATGTTCCCGGTCTTGAGCTCAATCACTTCGACTTTGAAAACCTTTTTTTCTTTCGACTTTCCGCCATTGACGAAGCCAAAAGCTCCCAGAAGAAGCAGAGATAACAATAAACAAAGCTTGTCCATGTTCTGAGATAAACGACGACGGGGATTCATAAAGGATTTCACAAGGAATTTATAGATGATTGTGCATGAGACCAAAATTAGGAAACTAAGGAGAGGACGACAGTTTTTAAAGCCCGCACTTTGCTTCCGACCAGACATTATATTTGAATTCATCTAAAAAAGATAAATTACATCATTCATCCTTCAATTACCTTCTTGCTCTTATTTGGATAATTGAAGCTTAAATGTTTTTATATTTTAGGATGTTGCTCTGTTAAATCCCCGACTATTAAAGCCTAAAGGTTACAAAATGATGCTCTAATTATAAGATTTTACTTTGTTGATTCTCTCGACTATTAAAAGTTACAAAAAGTTCACTTGACTATTTATATGTTTTAAACTTGTCATTTTTGGTTAAAAATTTGATGATAATCTCAGTTGAATGTTAATCTGTTGACTAAGATATGATAGTCGTTTGAGATTTTGGGATCAGATTTTATTATATCACAATCAACAAGTTAATGTCTAGCCCAAACTACCATTAATATTTTAACCTGGAAGGATGAGTTTGGAACATATAAATAGTCGGGATACCATTCTATAAATTTTAATAGTCGAGGGACTCAACAAAGTAATGCCCTATAGTCAATGGGCCATTTCATAACTCTTAATAGTCGGAGGACTCAACAAGGCATCGTCATATAGTTGATGGATTATTTGTGTATTTTATCCTATTTCTATATGATATGACATATTTTATTAGTAATTTAATGCCACGCAGAATTATATGTCTGGGGTGAGGCCATCGATCAGCCATTGTCCGTCGGCGAGAGGGTGTGGCTGGAGTGGGAGTTTAATTTGGAGTCTTGGTTTGCTATATGATTTGATATATAATTTGGGGGTTTAGTGTTTAAATCTAAATTTTAATGGTATAATTTAAGGTTTTAATTTTTTTTATTTTAATCTTATGTGACATTAAAATACTAATAAAATATATCACGTCATATGAAAATAATAAAAAATAATACATGATATGAAATTGATGGATTTTCATATCTTTTCGATTTTTGTTTTGTTGGCGGTGATATCAATCTTAATGTTGGTTGTCAACAGGCGATGATCCTTGTGACATGTTTTTCTCTTCTCTTGTAGCATGTGTTTTCTATGCTCTTGTAGTACATTCATTATGACTTTCGGTACATTTTTCGCATACATTTTCGGTCGTTTTGCAACAACACCTTCACAACATTTGTTTTCTGATTGATTTATCGTTGGTCACATATAGTCCGATCCCATATTTGGTAAAAGGTTGTTTACCGATATAATCAGAATTGTGCAACGAAACCCTTCGTTAGATAGTTTAGGGTTTAGGAAAAATTTATGAAGGTTACTGAATTCTTTTAATGTTGATCGTCTTAGATTCATGCATCGTCATCCTAGATTCATGCATTATCATATTTGTCTTTAGGGTTTAGGGTTTAGAATTTAGGGTTTATTTTGAATTACTTGTTGGTTTATTTTGGTATTTAGATGCTTATGTTTATCCAGTGATGATATTTTGGATTTGGTACTTTGAAATTGTTATATATTTTAATTTTAATTATATTTGATGATGCTTTTATATTTATCTTTATATTTTCTACCCTTTATTTTATTTAATTTACTTTGTTATTCATTGTTTTGATAGGTTGTACTAACAAATTGTTGAGTTATATTTTAGGGAAAATTACTTTAGATATCATTGAATTTTGTCTGCTGACTCATTTATACCACTAAACTTTTTTAAAAAAGTTCAATTATAACATTGAACTTTAGTTTCAAATTCAATTATAACACTATGTCATTAAGTCACTAACGGAATGACATGACAAACAGTTACTAGCATAGTTTGTCTAACCAAAACCCCATCGTTCTGGTGTGGCTATTTTGAAGCTTAAAACGACATAGTTTTAGACACTTAACTTTAAAGGCGTGCCAAATTTGCCACTGAACGTGCATGGCAGCTTTTAGTATAGATGAAAAAAAGGCGGTTTTCCGAAAAGGAACCAGCCCAGCCCCCTCAAGAAAGCTTTGCTTGGTAGGCGCTGCCCAGAGTTTCAAAAAACGTTCCGCGACCGCGATTTCATCCGCGATATAGCGGTTTCGCCGCCATCCGAGATACCCGCAGTCACGGTAAACCCAAAATGACAAAAAATGCGACTGCGACTGCGATTTGAAACCCTGGCGCTACCTACTCACTCGGACAATGCTTTGAACACAAGAGTGTGCAGTTCCGCCTCATGCTGAGTCACATGCAGCGCCTGGGAAAGCACGGACGAGCTACATGCAGGGAAACTTGCACGTGTGGTTCTGACCGGGGACCCCGGTATACCGTACTAATATGTGTAGGTCCCCGTAATTTGAGTGAGATTGTCATGGCCAACAATTTAATTTTAGTGTGGATGGATAAAGTAATAGATATAAATTTAATTTTAAAGTCGAATTAATCTAAATCATCGTGTAAAATATTTTTTTTCAACACAAAATTTTCAAAGGTCAACAATTTCTTCATTTGTATTACAAAATCTTTGTGAGTTTACATTTTAGATCAAAATTTTATCGTTCAAAATGAGTTTTCTATTTTCTAATTTCTTCCCCTCAGGTTTCTTTTCTTCGTCCGATGCCATGGAGAACTTGTACAGCATTTTATGCTTGTAAGGCTTTCCAGGTGAAACAATTATGGAAGGGAAATTGGGGTGATGCACTGCATCTGGGAAGCCTTGAGTCGTCAAACATAGTCCAGCGTGAGCTTTATAAACCGCTCCCCCTTTTCCCTTCACGTCTTTTATCAGGTTTCCGGTGTAGAATTGCAAGCCGGGTTGGTTCGAAGTCAGTCTCATGACTCTCCCCGACCTCGGGTCCTTCACCGTCGCGATTTTCTTCATCTTGACGGGGTCATCAGGGCCCTCGATGACGTAGTTTATGTCGTAACCACCCGGAAGTTCCTTGATTCGACTACCGATCACCCTCGGTTCGATGAAATCGTACGGAGTTCCTTTCACGGGTTGAAGTTTGCCCGTGGGGATTTGTTCGTTATCGACCGGCGTGATCTCGGAGGCAAAAATCTGGATTTCTTCGGACAAGATGTCGCCAATGTCATGGTTACCAAGGTTCCAATATGTATGCTGCACTAGGTTCAATGGGGTTGCTTCTTTTATAGGTTTGGCTTTCATTGTCACTCGAAATCGGAGATCCGAACGGATGAGGTACCGGACGGAGAATTTAACCTTGCCTGGGAATCCTGAAGCAAAATGTACCGGAGATCAAATTTATTGGAGTTCATTGCATTATATCTCCAACTTATGGTCTTCATTTTAAATTAGTCCTTAGACTTTTGAATACTCCAATTTGATCCCAAAATTATTCCAATTTCATCTCAATACTATGATCCTCATTCTAAATAGGTCCCCAAAGTTTTGAATCTTTCAATTTCATCCCCAAAGTCATCCAAATATGCAATTAGTTTCAAGCATAATTTAACCTAAATATGATTTCATTGGCAAAGGATGTGGTTAGTGTATACATATAGTTTAGGATGAAATTAAAATGTTTAAAAGGTTTGGGGACCAATTTAAAATAAAAATCATAATTTAAGGAAATGTTCAAATGTTTGAAGACTATTTTTTTATCGGCAAGATGATATTTATATATTAATAAAAAAAAGTCGACTTGGTTATATGTCTCTTTAAAAACCTCCCTAACCTAAGTGGAGGAAAAGAGTACATATAACCAAGGACAAACCGAACAAGACCGAACGGAAAACTAGAAGACAAAGATATGAGAAGGCAGCGAACATTTACAAACACGTAAATGGTTGGAATGATAGTCATAATTTAGGTATGAAATTGAAATATTTAAAAGTTTAGGGATTAATTGAGAATAAGTCATAATTTGAGGATTGTGATGTAATAAATCCAATTTATTGGCCTTATAAGCAATCCTTTGCAATGAGAAATAATGATGCTTTTTTTTTTTCTTACCATTTTCACCGTCCGGACTATCATAAGTAAACAAAATGGTTGGAACGTTAGCATCTTCCTTAATCTTCTTCACTTCCCAGATAACATCGGCCAATGCTCCGGGGCCACCGTGGAGCATGTGTTTCCCATTGACATTAGGCTTCAGTTGATACTCCTTTCGGTTCAAAGAAAATCTCCCGTCTCGGATTCGATTTGCGACTCGTCCGACGACTCTTCCGAAGTATGTTTCATCATCCTGCAGGGTGTGTTCCATCTCAATTAGTTTCTATGGCTTCCCTTATTTCAACATCCGATATGCACTAATGAAACTCACCTTGTATGCATCCGGAGAATCATATCCGAGAACGATGTCCCCCGGTTTACCTGAAAATTTGCGGACAACGAGAAAACGAAATAAAATCTCGACCCGAACGAGAAAATCGGAATCCGAAAAGGAAAGAAAAAGAACCAACCATTTTTGTCCGGAATAACAAGTGACATGAGGCTTGCTCCATAGTTGGCGAACTTAGCAGATATGTTCCCGGCCTTCAGCTCAAATACTTCGACTTTCGAATCCTTTTTATCTTCCGATCTTACGCCGTTGACGACACCAGAAGCGACCACGAGAAGCAGGGATAACAAGAAGCAGACCTTGTCCATGTTCTGAGATACACTATGATCAGAGGATTTTCTGAGGAATTTATACATGATGTGCATTGGGCCAAAATTAGGAAACTAAAGAGAGGACGACATATGTTAACATGGGATACTCAGTTTTTTAAGCAATATTTATGGTCCAAAGTAGAGATTTGTCCGCACTTTATTACCGATCTGTTATAATATTTGAATCCATCCTTTGTAAAGATTGAAAAATGAGCAATAAAATAATTAGTCGATATTTCTTCGTGAGAGAGAGTCGGTCATGAAAAGAATGAGATTAGGAGTGGATTGTACGAGATTCAAGTCATCTTCTCAGTTGTGTTGAAGGGTATTTATAATGGTCTTCAGCTGATAGCACTAGTTATTATAGTTATTTGTAGATCAACGGATTAGATAGATCTAGTAGTCGGGATAAGAGAAAATATATTCTCATCCCGATACTCGGTTAGAGTGGATGCTTTCAATATTCAAATCACATTAATGGTTATCTTAACTTCAAGTCATTTGTTTATTTATCTAGGATAAGTATAAGGCATGCAAGTAATGCACTGATCCGAAATAACAACCTAAAAAATTCACGATTGAGATATCCGTAATGACTGTAATAGCATCCGTCATGTCCGCAATCGCAATAAACGTGACGCAGCCGCAATCGTAGTTTAAATCTAGCTTAGCGGTATAGTTCGAAGGATAATTATAATATTGTATTAGATCGAGTTTTATATCTTAAATCAAAACATAATTCAACTTAAACTTGAATTTAAAATTAAAAAAATCAATTTAATTAAATTAAGTCGGATCAAATATAGAAACCCGACACCTTGTAGACTATGGGTACGGGACCCGAACTTTAATAGGAAGACCAAATTAGGAAAATTAGTTAGTTCTAAAACTAATGTGAAAAAAACTCAAAATAGGGATGGGTACGGGATCCGAACTTGATAGGTTGCCATCAGATTGAGTCAGATTTTAAAAAAAAAATGTGTTTGGGTCTAGTCGGGTTGGGGTTTTTAGAGGTTATGTTCGGATCGGGTTGAGTTTGAGTTTAGGGTGAAAAATATCCTACCCAAAAAAAATGTAATTTTACCTATATATTTAAGGATAATTGCAATAATACTCCTCTATATATTATTTATTTCAAATAAATCCCTATTTTTATTAAAAATCTAATATTTTCTAATAAATATATTATTTAGAGTCGAGTCGGGTTTGAATTTTATCTAAAAAAACGGGTTAGGTTCGGGACAGGTGTATATTTTTCCGGGTTGAACCTTTCTAAAAACCGGGCGGCGGCCGCCACCGAAACAATAGTCTTCCATTGACTCGTCAGCGACACCGGTCCTCGATCTCACCCACTTTTCCCTTTTTCAGTCAAAAAAATATACATATTTATTATAAGTTTAAATTGAATATGTTGACAATATATACATTTATCATAATCAAATGATATTATATTATTAAATTTATGAATTTAAATTTATAATGAGAATGAATCCAAATAATTCAAATATTATATATACAAAAATTATTTGATGGCGGCTAAGAAAACAAAGAAAAACAGTCATATGGACATGACCAAGGGTGCTTAGTCTATGGTTGGGACTGGTTTTTTAGCTGTTGTAAGATCTTTTTTTTCTTCTGATTCTGTCATGTTGCCTACGTTTAATGTTACTATTGTGATGTTTGTGCCAAAAATTTCAAATAAAAAATTATAGGTCGAACATGATTGCCCTGAATCAAACCGCATTTATGCAAGGAATGAGTATAGTGAACAATGCACTCATGGCTTAGAAGATTGTTAAGATGTATGCTAGGAAGTTCCTTTCCCCTAAAAATGGTTGTCCCTTGTTCCCATATGTAATTGGATAAGGGGAGGTAAGATAGTAGGCTGTCCCCAACACTAGGTGAGAGCAGCTTCCGTAGGAGACCTTCCCCTAAGTGTGCTCCAAAGGTGTACCTCCTAAAAAAATTGATTGGTTAGATTGGGGTTTATTCTTACTGTGCCTGAGATTGGATTAGGGATTGCTTTGTTGGGGCTCGATTTTCAATTTTGTTTAATGGAAGCTTGATGGGTTTCTTATAGGGATGCCAGTATGACCCGAACCCGACGGGGAAACCCGAAATCCGGTCAAGTTCGGGTCGGGTCGGGTATCAGAGATTTTTTCGGGTCGGATTCGGGGCAAGATATCCCCGACCCGCCCCGATTGTATATATATAATATTTTATATATTTTATATTAATTATATATATAATATTTTATATTTTTATATTAGTTATATATAAAATATTTTCGGGTTCGGGTATAATATTTCGGGTCGGGTTCGGGGACGAGGTAAAAAAATCCCCGACGGGGCGCCCCGATAAAAAACCCGTCGGGAATTAGGTCGGGGACGGGGATTCATTTTGGGTTCAGGGACGGGGCGAGCAAAACCCGACCCGTTGCCATTCCTAGTTTCTTAAAGGTGAAAAGGGTGTAAGACAAGGATAGCATGATGGGGTTTCTTAAAGGTGAAAGGGTATAAGACAAGGAGATCCCCTATCACCTTATTTGTTTAACTTGACCATGAATGTTGTATCTAGACTTTTGGACCTAGATGCTGCCAATGGGATCTTTGAGTTTCATCCACGATGCAAGAGAATTAGATTAACCCACTTATGCTTTGCGGATGACTCTTTGATTTTTTTTTAAGGGCTCGTTGCAAGAGAATTAGATCAGTTCTATGTTTATTTGGATCTAAAGCTTAATGCTTCAAAGGTTGAAATGTATTTATCAGTGGTCTTGTAGAATTAATCGATAGTCATTTTGAGAGCACTTATAGGTTTCAATAAGGGAAACATCGACTAGATATTTGGAGGTGCCTTTAGTTACAAGAAAACTTTTAGGTGACATTTGGTTCGCTGAAATGTTTTTGAGGGAATTGGAATCTGTGAAGGAATTGGAATCTGTCAGGAATTAGAATCTGTCAGGAATTGGAATCAAATTCCATATTCTGTTTGGTCGGCAGGAAATGGAATTGGAATCCAATTCCATATTCTGTTTGGTTCGCAGACATGTCAGATGAATTTGATTTCAGTAATGTAAAATGACATAATTGCCCTTCTTATTTTTTTTGCTTTATTTTAGTTTGTTTTACAACTTACATGTAGTAATATATTATAAAAAATTAAAAAATATTATATTTTCATTTTATTGATTGATTATTCATTTCAATAAATTATAAAAATCATGCTAATAAACGTCATAAGTTAAAATCATCGCAATCAAAATATGTTAATAAGTTACCAAAAGATAGAGCAATATTTCGATACATTACAATCGGAGTATGTTAATTAGTTACCAAAAAATATACCAAAAACTATTTTTATTCAATATATGAATTAGAAACCTGACCCGACACGACACGAAATAATAAAAAAATTATTTTTATTCAATAAAAACATTGACTTAATTGAAAAAAATTATATATAGAGAGGTATTATTGTAATTATTCCTAAATATATAAGGTAAAATTATTTTTTTTCGGGTCGGGTCCAGTTTTTTTCACCATAAACCCGAACCCGACCCGAATACCACACTTAAAAAACCCGACCCGACCCAAAATATATGAATTAGAAATCCGACCCGGCCCGACCCGAAATAATAAAAAAATTATTTTTATTCAATAAAAACAGTGACTTAATTGAAAAAAATTATATAGAGAGGGGTATTATTGTAATTATTCCTAAATATATAAGGTAAAATTATATATATTTTCGGGTCCGGTATTTTTCACCCTAAACCTGAACTCGACCCGACCCGAATATCACACTTAAAAAAACCGACCCGACCCGACCAAAATAAAGTTTCACCCGACCCGACCCGACCCTAATATATGAATTAGAAACCCGACCCGAAATAAAAAAAAATATTTTTATTCAATATATGAATAAGTTACCAAAAGATTAATGAGGGTAGTATGATCAAATTTCAATTCCCTCCAACAAGGGAATTGAATTTCATCCATTCTTGGATGCAATTCACTTTCCCTCATTTGATGTAAAGTTGAAGCCATGAGGGATTCCAATTCCATTGGAAAACTTGAACCAAACATGGGAAAGTGGTGGAATTGGATTCCAATTCCCCCCAATTCTAAGGGATTCATGCCAACCAAACTTAACCTTAAAGAGTGATCTTATTGCTTTAATTAATTGAGTTAACCAGAAGTTGGGGCAGCGATCAACTAGGCATCTCAACTATGTGGGGTAGACTATTGCTTATAAAATCAGTTTTGTTTAGCATTTCAAACAATTGGTGTCGACAGCTTGTGCTTCCTTGAGTTGTGCTCTATATGATCGAGCAGTTGTATACCAAATTCTTGTGGAAAATGGATAATCTATCTGTTGTTGGTGCAGCTGATTCGAAATGTTATTACCGATCAGGGGTCACTTTGGGTGTCTTCGCTTGAGAAATATGTTTTACGAGGTGTGAATTTTTGGCAAATGGAAGAAAAAAAGTCAATTTTAGTTGGTGCTTCAAGAAGTTGAAATTGAGGGATATTGAACTTCTATTATTTACTTTTTGATCAATGAGTCCATCGTTTTTTATATAAATAAAAGTTTAGATTTGCAACTATCTTTCAGAAGTAAACGATTTGAAAGTCAATGTGACACATCGGATTCGTATTCGAATTAGATACGAGTTGTATTTGAAAAGTCAATGCTGAACCGTTCAGCATTCAGCGCTGAATGATTCCATTTAGAGTCAAACAAATAGCCCCTTAGGGTGTGTTTGGTTCACGGAATGTAAGATTACCAGTGAGAATAAAAGATTACCAGGGAATAGGATTACTGAGAATGTTGTATTTTGTGTTTGGTTGGTTTAGCAGGAATGTAAGATTATCATGTTTGGTTAAAGAAATAAAAGATTATTGGAATGTATATTTGAACAAATTATCCTTATTATATATTTGTTTTTTTAACAAGTTGAAAAATATTTATATATTTTCTTTAAAAATTTAAAT